CCTTGCACCAAAGAAAGGCCACACCGGCCAAGGCGCCCCCGCCACCGACTCGAACAAGCCCGCGCCTGTCGACGAGGTCACCAAATAAGCTATCACCACCAGATCGAAGAGCGACAGACACGCGCTCGGCCTCTAGGGAGAACATCCCCGGCACCAGCAAGGGGCTTGGCTAGCTAGCTGGTAAAGCAAAGCAAGGGAGTAACATCTACAAGTGACAACGGACTTTTGCGAGTAACATCGGTAGTTGCGTTGCATTGCATTGCATGCTTGCAAGCGGCGTGGGCCCCTTAGATAGCTACGAAAGTAACGAATGGAAGTCAAATAACTCAAAGACGATCTTCTTAACAGCATGTGGTTCTAGATCCCTGTGTTGGTGGGGCCAAAACGCGGTGTGAATGTTCGTGCGGTGTACATGCTGTTCTCGCATACAATGTTCCCTGCGACGCCAAAATGGTGTTGATGGCTTAGTAGACCTCGTAAGCGAAGGCCGATGAACCTTACGCACAATCGCGAAGGCCGAATTTCACGTTCGTCCGTCTGTCTATGTACGGGACGAGCTGAGTCGTGTGAAAATACATGACTGCGCCGTTCGTATTGACGGAGTCCACGGAAGCCAGACATCCGTAACGGCCTATGAATAGACCCTGTGTACGTACTCCAGTCACGTCATTAGGCGACCTAGAAATAAGTTGGTTCTCATGTCATCGTGGCTGCTGGGCAAGTAGTTTTGAGTGGAGGCGGCTGGCGTCAGCCTGCATGCGAAGTCAGTCTCGCCTCAGCTGAGCGAGAGTCCGAAGCGGAGGGTTGGGATGCTTAGCGTGGGAAGCTGGAAGGGGGCAGAATCGTGGAGAATCGGTGGCCCTGGTGGAGCGGCAGTGGGGAACTTTGGTACTCAACAAAAAGCACATGTGAAAGGGTAGAGCATCAACAACATTGAGGAAACATCACGATGGGACGAAGTAATGAAGTGGTAGATCGTGGTATTTGGCTAGATAAAGGCACCAGCCCTTGGTGAATTTTGTCCGCCATAGCCTATCCAGGAAGCGATATCCAGAATGGTTACCAAGTCTAAAACGAAACTGTTGCTACAAGAGTGTACACGCTCATGACGCCGTCCGACGCCTGGTAGTGATGCCACACTCCATATTTTCCCAACCCAGTGCCCCTGTTAACCTCAATGACCGAACCTTACGCCGACCCAATTGTCTAGGCCTGGAAGACCTCATCATTCGTGATCCACAGCCACCATCCACCAACTCGGTTTGCTTCTTCGCCCCCTTGGTGGATCTCTTGATGGCGTCAGTGCTAAAGTTGTCCCGCTGCGAGGGCCTCGTCGCTAACCGAAGTTGCGCCAGAGGCACTCTGCAAGTCGTTGAACTTTGCATCAAAGCCGTCAAGAAAGCCGTAAGAGTTTGAGTAAGAACCGTGGTCAAAGGATGTTGGACCGAAGGCATCGACTGAAGAAGAATCGACCATGCTAAAAGGGGGTTCCATGGGAGCAGTCGATGTTGGACTGCACTTTGGGAACGGGTCGAAGTCGAAGAAGTTCTCCATGACGACAGACTTTTCGTCGACTGGAGCGTAAGGTTGAAGAGAGAGAGGTAGGCCCAGGTCGCCCGTAGAGAGGCCCCCGAAGTCGACTGACACGGCAGGTCGCACAATATCGCGGCAGGATATTGTGTCGAGTCGAATTCGGGAGAAGCCTCAAAGCTTGATGGGGGAGTCTCAGGTTGGCACGATGAGTCACGGGGTGAGTCCATCGAGTCCATTGACTCTGGGCTGGGGAAGGAGGTGGGGATCTGCGCGGGGCAGATGGTGTCGAAGGTGTCGCGGGGTGGTGTAGCGAGGTCGAAGACAGGTTGAGGTGCTTCGCCGGGGTACTTGGAGCGGAAATATCTCAGCTCGGCCTCCATCTCAGCCATCTTTTGTTTGTAGGCTTGCATGTTGGCCTCGAGCTCGTCCTTCTCGGTCTGGAGGACTTCGTATTCTTGGCGCTTCCGTTCGCGGGAGTTGTGGGCGGCGAGGCGGTTGCGCTTTACGCGCTCGATGCGTCGTTGCTCCTTCTCGTCCTCGGTCTTGGCCCGCTTCCGTGGAGGCAGGCTGGTCTTGGGCTCGGGGAGCACCTGCCCCCACGACTTGCGCTTCTTGACGGGTTTTGAGCCATTGCTCTCGGGCGCTGGTGTTTGTGATGCTTCCGACGAGTTGGACGAGTGGTGTGCGGGTGAGGGCGAGTGGTCGTAGTTCTCGATCATCTCCATTTTGATAGTAGTAGGCATGGCCTCGACTGATGGTGGGGGAAGGGGCGTGGAAGTCATGGCGGAGTTGTTGATGGTTTGGGAAAAGAGACTAGAGTCGAAGGTGTACTGAGCCATGGTGAAGTCGATGTAGGATGGAGCTCTGAGTGGGCATAGTGGGTGATTATCACTAGGACCCGGGCTGTGCGGCGCTGAGGACAGGTGGCATCTACGGACCCTTTAATAGGCAGCTGCCAAGCGCACTTCTGGACCCCTTGAACGCTTGCCCGCATCGGGGCCGAGCTAATTGTGCCCACTCCGACACACGCCCCCCTACGCTAGGAACTCAGCCATCAGCCGCGGGCCGTCCATCGTTTCACGACCCAAGTCAGGGGAGTGTGTTGCAGTCGTCTTACAGCTACCCGGATTTCGTTCCTGTGTCGCTGTGCCGTCGCTACCAGTCTCAGAGGGCGGCGCCGCTCCTCCACGGCCTTCTGCCCCCTTCTGAAGCAGGCGTAAACGGCCTCATCCAACTCCGACGTGCAGTCGCGGCGTAGCACAAGCTGATATTAGCCTTCTGACCGACCCACCTGTATCACTCGCTGCACCTCAGTGGCGACACGAAACAAGTTCAATGTAGCATGTCGTAAGATGCCGTCAGCCAAACCCAATACGCCCTTACGCCGCGCTGCATCCATCTCCCTCCGGAGCGTCTTCACAGTCACGCACACCCCCCAAATTATTGCGTGCAATATGCTCGTATACTTCACCCACGGCACGTGTAGATGAAGGCCCGAAGCCATTCCTTCTCGAAGCATCTGCACCCCATAGTTGCAATCTATTTGGCCGCGTCGCTAAGCATTCCACCCACACATCTTCATATCCCCACACAACCTTGCAATCTACAACCACCTTCCATAGTGCGACCTACTGCCGGAAGATTTGCGCAACCTGGGGTAAAGTTCCTTTGTTCGTGGAAGCACCGGGAATGTGCATAGAAGCTTAGCCTTAGCTTCCTTTCTTTATTGCTGCTGCAAACTGAAGCGTCACACGAGGCCCTTGGTTTCCGGCTTTATTCAAGTAAAGCATCCCTGGTGGGTTTCTGGCTGTATCCATTCGGACTTCACGAACTTGTAAGACGGAGGCTCTCCGGTAGTAAGAAATGACAAGCCGGTGGTTCGTTAAGCCGCACTCATCATCATGCGGCACCGAAATTACTTTTGCCTTATCGTCGTCTGGTCGTCCCATTGTCCGTTGCCACTACGCAATGGACTGAATGCGCAGGATTTCGAGAACAGGATTCCAGTCTCGAATAAAGACGGGTTGCGTAATACTAGGCTAGCGTCTCGAGCGTGCTTTGTCGTGGACATCGTGCGCTGCTCCACAGGCCGACTCGTCACCGTTTCAGGCACCAGAATTCGGACCTATCGCATCGGAACCGCTTCCAATCCAACGGTCCAGATCTTACTCGTCGCGTTCTTGACTCAGTACATGGGATCTACCTCAGTAATACTGCCGCCTACACGGCATGCTCCAATGAGCTGTACAGGACTACGTGCGGCTCTGATTAGTATTCCCATGGGAAATGGCTCCTGTTCATCGTGAGAAATCATAAGGATGTCGGCTGACCTTCATGAAGCCAATACGGCACGATCCGAGATACGAAAAGGAGAGCATGCTCACGACGACCGCGATCATTGCCCCCTGGGTAGCTGTCTCAGTACCAGATCATCACAGCAATGATACTGCCGCCTACGCGTCCTCGTTCAATGCGGGCCACGTAATGGCGACAACCAAGAAGCTTATGGATGAACCGGCTCTCGTGTATATCGAACCTAATCAACCAAAGCAGAGCTGATCTAGGCGCCGATATCTCCATCAAGACCATTGCTGCCACGCACACAGTGCCAGCAACTATGCTAAGCATCATTAAAGAAGTCTCATTGTCACGCGTACATTTTCAGGCCGCAGCACAAAACGAGAAACCAATATAACCACAAAAGTCATTACGATAGTCTTCGTCATCACCATCGTCATGTGTGCCTATGTTTCATGTGCAATATGTGTTCTTGAGATTCCGAGCATTGATGCCTAGATCACTTCGACAAGCGTTTGTATGCCGGATGGTCGCAAAGCAAGCAGCGTCAAACTGCTGCCTATGCCAGCTCGGGATACTCATGAAGTAAGCAAGAGTCACCTAGGGCAATCGCCAGGCTAAGCATTAAGAGTAAGATGATGCTTAAAGATGCAGGTTCAGCTTAGATACGTACATGAATAAAGAGTGACCTATCATTTTCTCAAACTCGTATACGCAAAGCCAGTCAAGTATCGACCTCAAGAAACGGGACATGTTGTGTGCAAAGGCGGTCACTCGCTGTCGCATGACATCAAAAAGGCGTATACGACCAGGCAGTGAACAAAAAGATGATGGAAGATATGTCGGAAGTTCTCTATCAAGGAGCGCCTGGTGCTCCGTCTATGGTCACCGTAGAGCTCCGACATAAACGTAGTATATCAGTCGAACACCGACATGATTAACAATGAATCGAGATGCGCCGAAGGTAAAAGACTGATAACCATGACCGATGAGGTTGTTGCTGTTAAGAGGAAGCATATACTGAGGTGTATCGAGTCGTACCCCCAGCCTCAGGTATGGCAACTATTTTTACATCGTTCGCAACCTCGCCCCGTCCTGGAAGCAGCAGTGGTATCTAATGAAATTATGTGAGCACAACAGTTTTGGGACATCAATGTAGTTTGAATGTCTCAAACCGGAACGCCCACGAAACCAATCTTCGGTTTCACTCTCGCACCGTCAGTGCTCTCTCCGCCCCATTGGCTGCGCCACTCTTGTTCTTCAGCCTTGATCTGCTCAAACACTTGTAGTTCTTCGGGCTTCATGTTCGACTTGTCCTCGTCGTCCAGGGTCGGTAGACCGTTTGTACCGACGTCAACGAAGTCACCATCGGGCCCGGGTATGCCCAGGCCGGCGAAGGGAGGTTGTTGGAAGACCGAGTCGACCACGAGATACTTGCGACGAACGAGTGGAGGTACGTCGGTCTCTTCCGCAGGAACCTCCTCCCAACGTGCATGGGTGGGTTGTGTGACCTTGGGATAACACATCAGGTTGGTATGTGGGTCGTATACGCCCGTGAGATTTGCTTTCCGTAGCTTGGAGAGGTTCGAGTTGAATCGACTAGGGTATGTTAGTCCTGGTAGTCATAGATAGGTGTAAAATTTATGCATACCTTGCAGCGCGGCCATGCTCAAATTGCCAGTTAGCAGAGGTGATGTTGACCTTCCGTTTTCCAGGGGCAGGCTTGCCATTGGCAGTAGGTACACTGGGCACACCGGTGTGATAGACACTACTGGCACCATGCCAAGCGACGTATTGGTTCTTGTTGTATGGCTCTCCTGGAGGTGGAAGCCTGTCGTTGGGGTCTGCAAGTTCACCCTCTACTGCGCCACTTTCCTTTGCTGCTGTAACGTAGTAATCGTCAATGACCCTCTTGCCGCCGATGATGATGCGCGCGCCAAACTCGCGGAAGACAGATCGTGCTGTGACGACACCGATGGCACGACCCTTGTAGGAATGAGGTATGATGTCGCGGTCGATCAGGTCCCTTTTCTCAGCGTCGTCGATGATGATCTTGTAGAGCTTCATGTGCTTGGTGAAGAACAGATAACTGTCCCTAAACCCACAGCATCGAGCCGGTTCAGTCGACAACATGTACTGTCTGTCGCCCCTGCCCTTGATGGTGAATATGCGCACGCGGTAGTCTCGTCCACCCATGAGGTTACCCAGCTTGTCGACCTTCTGCTCGCCCTCTTCATCTTCTGGTAGGTCAACCTCATCGTTGACTACGTCCATCATGTTGCCCTCTTTGTCTATAGGAACGCGCGTGGTATGCGACGGCCCTCCCTTTGGAGGCCTTCCTCGACCTCCACCAGACGGCCGTCCCCGCTTGCGCTTGACGGGTGTGCCGCCTTCGGAGTTGTCGGGCTCGATGACATTCCAGTCCGGCGGCCTGTTCTTAGGAGGGCGACCAAGACGCTTCTTGCGCGGAAACGGCTGGATAACTGCTGGAGAAGGTGAACGCTCAGAGGGTGCGGCTTCCTCGTCGCTTCCCTGAGCTGCTGATTCAGCATCCTCTTCCTCTTCCTTGGGTGTATCGGCGCGCGATTCTGGTGCATCTATCATATCCTCGTCGCTGTCTTGCTGGGGTGTTGCGCTGCGAACAGGCGTGCTGCGACGCGCTGCAGCTCGCGATGGGCGGCCGCGCGCCATTGTGGCTGGTCGAAAACGGCGTTGATGTGGCGCAGGTCAAGCTAGCAGCAGTTGTCGCGATGTGTTTGCAACTACAACTTCGGGATTCGGATGCAAATTGGGTGAAGGGCGGTGTCGGTGGTTAGCGATGCTCTTGCACTCCAGGAATGCTAAGGACCGCGACGTGAAAGAGCTAAGCAAGGGTCCCGCGCACGGCCCACAGTCGTCACGTGCAAGCTCAAGCCAGGCGTTTTCGTCAACGTCTTCCCTAGACTGAACGTACATTCTCCAATACCTCACAAGTGGCCATCGTTGATCAAGCAATCATACCCACTGCAGTAAACGATGTCAATACCTGTCATGTCCAAGCAACGGCACGACCTCGGGAAGCCCCAAGCATACCGCATCTCCACCTAGGTATTACGGGAATCATGAGAAACGAGCTCGTTGAACAGGTCTCTTCAACATCATACCAGCGAACATGATACCTGGAGTTATTTCTCTTAGAACAAACGGGTTCAGAGTATTTTATGAGCGCGTCGTCTGCATCCGCTCGATCTGTAGAGGGGTTGATCCTGCCAAAACCACCATACGCTCTTGGAACTTGCCACCTTGAAGTACACAGAGTCAACTCGGCAGGACCAGACGTGTATATCAACAAACATGGATCAGAAGTCAAGAGCGCCGACTCCAACAGCTCCCACACACTCGTGGCCTCATCCGTTCGACTAACCCCGTAGCCTCAACCACACTGCCGAACCTACAGTGCAGGACTGGGATAGTGACGAACAGCCACCATGCCTTTTGATCGCATCATCAGTGCCAAGAGGAGCTTTACTGGTATCTTCTCTCGAATGAGTATAGCTCCGTGAGTCGGAGATGTTCCTATCTCTGCTTTGCTATGCTGACATTGTCAAGTCCCTCGCCACCCTGCTCCGCTAAGCACAACGAGAACAATGCACCAAGCTGTGAGACTCCAGGACCGTCCTCGCCTGTCGCGAGCTCAACTATACCTCATTCTAGCGACGAATCGCCTATCAGAGAGAGTCCATCAATGCGCAAAGGTCTAATGGGCTCGTTGCGAAAGCAAAAACTGCGGAGCATCGGCTCTTTACGCAGCTTGCGCTCACCTACCAAGACCAAGCAGTCTGATATATCAGAGTGCCTCATGGATAGTGTAAGTATCTTTCCCCACAACAGAGAAACGACCACTGACTCTCTGTCCTCTAGAGTCCGCTGACCCCGAAGCACCGCCTCAACTCATCGCTTTTACTCTACTTCGAGGAGTCTCCCCCAGACAGACCAATATTCGATCTTGACCGCATGGACCCCCGAACCTCGAGTCTTTATGTCCACCATTCCTCGCCGGTACCGGTCCCACCATCCTATGAACAGATCCCGCAATCACCTGCGGATTCATCGCTCATACCAGATGGAACTGTTCCACTATCACCAGCACCTATCCAGAAGATTCTGGACTCAGAAAAGACCATGATTCATCCGCCACCAGCATACACCCAAGCGTACGAACCAAGTTTGGAAGCGATGAGAAAACCAGCTTCAACAAAAAGCGCTCTGTCTGACAGTCTTCGGGAAGCTGCAGTCTACTTCAATGAGCCCCTCGTTCGCTTTCCAAACCCAGGATCCGACTATCTGCCTATCGACGATTGCTTTTCACTTCCTGCTAAGAGCGAAGACTTAGGTCAGACATCAGCCCGAGAGGATCCGTCTGGGGTAGATCGTATCGATAACTCGCCAGTCTACAACAACCCGGATAAGCCATCAGAGGATGCGACCACCAAGGTCTCCAATGAAACGAATACAGACAGGACACCAAAGGAGCATGCACAGCTTATCCTTGAGAATGGCTACCAGGCAAGCGTCTACCGTCGAGCAGACGGAGAGTGTCGCATGAAAATCAAGCTGCTTGCCTTTTGCAATGAAGATGACGACGACGACAGTGGATGGAACAATGAAACGCCAATCAGGTATACTGCCGCAGAAGAAGAGAAGCTGGCATCACAATTGAGCGCTATTATTCGGGATGCGGGGATTACCTCTGTGTCTGACAGCGAGCTCAATGAGGCGTTTGCTACTGGAAAACTTCCAGCATATCTGGATGTTGACCCAAGTTGGCACGTCGCCGAGAAAGTGAAGATGGGAAAGCGTGATAGTTCCTGGGGCGAGCATACTGGGCTCTACGACGGTAGCGGCTATGGATCAAGATCCAGCTCCCGACCTGTGACTGGTGTGACTGAGACGGCCGACGTACCTCGTACACGTATCCCTGGAGCATTCGTCGACCACGAAAACGAAGCGCCTATGATCATCCGCAGGCTGTGGGACAATACCTATTCGCACAGCCCGGATACGGACTCGCCTGTGAAGGCTATCGTGGCTGATCCCGCAATCTCCGCAGCGCAAGAGCAGCACAACAACCCCTTGCAAGACTACGAAGCCTTCCAGGGCATGTTGGATCTTGGTGGCAGTGCATAGATCATCGGGTACGCACTTCGTTATGCAGGGTCGTTTAAATTCGCTGGGTCGGGTCGGGCCCTGAAAAGTGTGACAGTGACCGATCAGGAACGGTATATCCGGCATCCTTCCCAGCAAACAGTATTCCATCGATAGAGTCTCCATAGTTATCAATGCAGCCCACAAGTTTCTTCCACATAGGCGTCTTCCAGCTCATCCCACACATGCGTAGCGGGGCGTTCGCGTGCCCCAACTCTCATGATGGCACCACTGTACCCAATAGCCGTACATGTAATCAAAGTTCCAGTCCGCAGATCATCCGAGTGTTGCATCAGTTAGTCCAACCAACGGTAATCGAAAGCAGCGAAGATCCGGGCTCCAGAAGGTGTAGGAGGGAAATCAGGCCATGTCGGCTCATGCGACTTACCCGAGTCTGGGACGGTGACTGGGGTGTGCAGTGGAGTTAGCGAAGATGTGCGGAACAGCTCGTACGATGTTTAGTATTTTGGGTGGGCAGCAACATGATCTAACACATGATGATTATGCTGTGATGTGAGACGCCGCTGGTGTGCCGGCCTTGCGCGAGAGTACTTGCTGGCGTGCTTAAAGGCGTGGTGGCGGGCGGCTTCGAGGCTGTTGCCGTGTCCCTCGGTTTGCCCCGCGTGAAGTTCAGAATGCCAGGCCAAATCCATGCTTCTTGTGGGGAGAACGCCAACGACGTCGTTATCCTTGGCTGCGGCATCATCGGCTTGTGTACCGCGTACTATCTCACAGAAAGTGGAAATACAGATCCAAAGAGTATTCATCTGGTTGATTCGAGTCCGAAGTTATTCAATTGCGCGTCTGGCCTTGCTGCGGGCTTCTTGAGTGCCGACTGTACGTTTGGCAGCGTACGACGCGTGCAACATCAGCGCAGCGCGTCGTTCAACACCTGAACACTTTGTCTAACTACGAAGTAGGGTTCGCACCATCCGTAGCTTCCCTCGGCGCGTTATCCTTCAAACTTCACGCCGACCTCGCGAAGGCGCATTCCGGACGTACAACATGGGGATACTCGCAGTCCACCGGAATCTCTCTTTCACAAGACAGCGAATCGGCCATTGGCGGTAGCGGTGAAGACTGGCTTGAGAATGGAACGAGTCGAGCACAATTAGCGAATCACAATAAGCCCTGGGAAGAACAGGCTGCCGGTCCAGAATGGCTTCGGCGCACACAGGAAGGCATCATGGAGGTTATAAGTAGGGATGGGACGACCGCACAAATCGATCCGTTGAGATTCTGCCAGTGGCTTCTGGAAGAAGTGCAGAGAAGGGGGGTCACGATACATCAGCCAGCGACGGCGACAGCCATCATCAAAGACTCAGAAGATATGTTGCGCGGTGTAAGGATATCAAAGGGTGATGACGCCGAGTCGGAGACAGAGTGTAAGGCCCAATCCATACCACCCAACTCCACACTTACTAACCAACTACAACAGTACCATGTAGCCGTCTCGTCATAACCTCTGGTGCGTGGTCTCCACGCGTTTTCAGCACCCTCTTCCCATCCTCGAAAGCGCGCATCCCCGTCTCCTCGTTAGCTGGCCACTCGCTGCTCGTTCGAAACCCATACCACAAACCCGAAGAGCTCGACAAGGAAGTCTGCCACGCAGTCTTCGCGACAGATACACTCGGCTTCTCGCCAGAGTGGTTTGCGAGACTGGGTGGAGAGCTGTATCTGGCAGGGCTCAATAGCACAAACATACCTCTACCGGAGGTTGCAACAGACGTACAAGCTAGTACGAAGGCCATCGAGCAGTTGAAACAGTGTGCAAAAGCTATGATGGTGAATGTTCCGGGCAAGGATATGGAGATTTTGAGGGAAGGCTTGGTAAGTTGATACTGAGACTAGAACGCTGAACCAGTTTGCTAATCGCAGGTTAGTGCTTCCGTCCAGTCACATCTAGCGGCCGACCCATAGTATCGCGGATACCGGACGAAAAGCTCGGGAATACCAGGACAAGAGAGGAAGGCAATGGAGGTGTTTTTATAGCAGCGGGCCATGGTGCTTGGGGTATATCGCATGCGCCTGGTACTGGACTTGTTCTGTCAGAGCTGATAGAGGGACGAGAAGCAAGCGCGAATATTGAGGCGTTGCAATTACCAACGTAGAGTGCTCTTACTCAAACAAAATGTGTATTGGGTACTCATCAACTGGCTACATCGAAACAAACGTGCTGGCCCTGTGACGAGTATGGAATCGGGCTTCTTGTCTCTGACATCATCCAGTGCACGATATCCTTGGAGTTAGCGCAGGACTGCGCCGCACGTTCGCACGATGACTCCGCAGTTGGTCTTGTCGAACCATCATACAATGCTACTATAGCAATTCCAAGCAAACACAATGTCTACGAACCCCGCCGACGAGGTTGCCGCGAGGAAGCGACATGAGCGCGAGACGAATCCCATACACATCGAACAACTGGACGCAAGCGTTTTGGCTGGTGCGTCTAGAGTCAGACAACGTATCGAGAGTTCTCTGTAGCTAAAGACCGTATCTAGCACTGC